AAGAATGTGGGGAAAAGTTGCTTGTTTACCTGGTCCATTCATGTGTTCCCACCGGCAAAGCCATTTTCACTCATAAACATCACTGTCCCCGAAGCACGGACACAGCCTGTCCAAGAGCCGGGCTGCTGGACCCACGTCCAGGCCCAAACCACGTCCCCTTTGTCCGTGGAACTGAGTGCCCTCTGTTCCCATGGCACACACATGTGCCTGCACTCACAGATACACACATGCACACACGCTCCATCCCACGTGCACACACAGGACCGCTCCTCTCCCCTCACCCCTTTAGTACCAGCACCCTCAGCTCAGGGCCCCGACACCACGCTCTGCAGCCCCATGGACTAAATAAAAATCTGTGGCTGATTAACTGGTGCTTCTCCATTTGCTAAAAGATAAACTTATAACAAATTTATAGCATCATCAGCTAGAATCCCAACATGCTGGAGTCCCACATAAACTTAGGAGTCTTCAACCCCAGCAGGGGAGCCAGGCAAAGGGCCAGGGGCTCCGGAGACAGATGAGGCTCATGCCGGAGGCTGCCAACGAGGTGCATGTGTGTTTCCCAGCAAGCCCCGCACCTTCTCCCACCCCCCTCCCCGCCCCAGGTCCGAGGCTGGTTCTCCCAGCCCCACACCTGGGAAGGCGGGCCTAGGGACCTGCTCTGGGAAGGGACCTCGTGCTAGACTCTGACTTGTGGCCCTGGGACTGCCAGGCGTGAGGCATCTCCGAGAACAACCAGAACCAGCTGGTCAGGGAGCCCCGGGCGTGAGCAAGTCAGACTCGGTCTCCCCTCGAGAGAACGGTTATGGGGACGTTCCCTGGGATACGCTCCGCTCACGTGAACGGGCACTGAGAAGCGCCCGCGGGACCTCGGCATCACCGCATCCGTCGTGAGCATCCTCGGGAGGAGCCCCGGCCACGGCAGCTCCCGCCCAGTCTCTCTTAGCTGCTCAGCCTGGTGGTGTCAGTGGCAGGTACGGTAGCAATGAAACCATTTTTTCTGCACCCGGGACATTTTACCCTCTTTTCTTCTTTATCTAATATCTTTTATGTTTTTATTTTTACGTCTTTTTTTGCATTTCTCCATTATCTCTTTGGGAAGAGGTAATGGGACTGGGGAATTAATAAACATAACTTAGAGGTTCCAAGTGGGGTCGTTACTCAAGAGCACAGTTAGGAATTACTGCATTGCTTACACCTGTTCAAGAGTGTGTGCAAATGGCTTATTC